TCAACGCCTTCACCCATCTCATACAATTTATGGAGAAGTAAACTGGTGTTATACTGTATTATGATTGGACTCCGGTGCGGTCGGACTCCACTGGGAGGCTGTGATTGGACCCTAGGGGGTTCTCGATGGCTTCCAGTCCCTGGTCTGAGAAGCAGCAGTGTGCTCTTCACCCCCAAATCAGGGACTGGAAACCTCAGCGGCCAGCCCAGTTCTCAGCTGTGAAGAAGACAAGCCAGGGGCTGTGGCCTCCCAGATTCATCTTCTCTCCTTCTCCTTTTGTGGGGCCCAGACATGCAGCCCCAAGTACGCACTTTGGAGTAATTTTTGCCTCAGAATCCAGACAGCTCACATCCATCCTCTGGAGCAGAGTGCACACATGTGCACACATGCACACACACTCTCTCTCTCTTGCAGGCATGCTCACCAGCAAGTAGGCAGGCGCACAATACTGCACGCAGAGTAGGCACACACAGTCCAGGGCAGACCAGGCAGCAGAAACTGACCTGCGACTCCAGGGAACCGGGAGCAGCAGCCCTAAGCAACAGGCCGAAGGGTTGCCCCTGGGGGCCTGCCCCTGCCTCCTTCGGTGCCAGGCCCCTGAGATCAACTCAGTGACCTCTCGGTGGCCCTAGCAGGTTATGGGGAGAACATGACCTGTTAGAACTGTGACCCTTGGCTGCCACCAGGAACAGGGGCTGCAGCCACTGGCTGGGTCTCTCTATGAAGGTTGTGTGTGCGCATACGTGTGCCTGTCCGTGTGGGCCGGGGTGGGCTTTGCAGCCGTGCTCAGCCTCTAGGCCCAGAAGGAGCCCTCCAGCCTAGGGAAGTTTTAAACTGATTTTAGATCATTTGGTTCAGAAGAAATCTATGCACTGAATTTGTTCTGGCTTAAAAGTAGTGCATGCTCATTGTAAAAAGAATAAATGTGGAAAACTGAAAAAACCATGGTGTAAAAAAGAAAATGGTAGGAACACCTGTGCTCCCATCCCGGGAGAGAATTGCTATTGACATCCTGCTGGAGCCGAGATTACACACACACACACACACTGTTTGCTTTCCTGCCTTCTCACTAGATCTGCAGTGAGCAATGTCTCATGTCGCTCCTCTTTGTACACCTGTTTAAAGGCCGTGTACCGCCTTGCATTGCTGTACCGTAACGTATTTAACTTGTCCCTGGTTATTGGATGTTCAGGTGGCTTTCAGTTTTTCCCCATTGTGGGAAACCCGGGATCATACATCTTTGTGCAATGATGTGCTGAGAAGCCTCGCCTAACGGCAATCCAGGAAAAACTGTGTGACTTGGGTTCCAGAAGCTTAGACAGAACCAAAAGAGGGTGCTTGGCAAAAGCAGGAGGGTGAGCTGGAATGCAGCTGCCCCCACCCGCCCTGGACAAGTGCCCGGCAACGCCCTCATAGTCGCCAGAGCCCCAGGACCCAGTTCCTTCTTTTCCTTCTGGGGCATTGGACAGGTGACCAGTGATGAGCCAAGGCCTCCTGGTGAAGCAGGGCCGAAGGCAGGGCTGAGTTGGATGCATTCATCTGCTTTAAGGACCCTGGCACTGGTCCTCCCCACCCCGCCCCTGCTAAAAGGCCCTGTATACTGCTGGCAATTGACACCCAAGTCTGTAAGTAGTAGGGGATAAATTAAGACCAGCTGGTGGAGAAGCTGGGGGACTTTGGGAAGCATGTCCTACAATCCCAGAGGGTGGGCAAGATTGGGGCAGGCGGGGCTGGGGGCAGGGCAGCCCAGGGGGAGTCGGGAAGCCAGGAGATGACTCCACGGCTCCACTGTTCATCTGGCAAGAAGACGCCTTGCCTTTCCTTTGCCTCCCTCAACCTGCTCTGAGGGGCTGCGATAGGGAAGGAGATGGCTCTGTACCTGGCTGGGCTCCGAGCCTGCTCATCTACCCCTGACTCTTGAAAGGGGACAGAGTGGGGGGATCTCACAGCTGTGCAGCTCCTTGAGGCGATGGGATCATGGAACGTTAGTGTCCTCATTGACATCAGAGGCCGCTTAATTCAACCCCTCTTATACAGATGGGAAACCAAGGTGCCAGCTCAAAAAGCCTGTGGGGCTGGGTCAGCAAAGGAAGCCCGGTACCCGACTACCAAGCCCATGAGCCTTGTGGTCACATGCCCTTCAACTCCACATCTGTGGGTCACACTGCTGGTGTAGGGGAGGCTGTGGTGTAGGGGCTCAGAAGCTGCTTTGGGGGTCAACAGACACAAGTCCTGCTGGGAATCTGCCCAGAGGGGCCCAGACACAAGCCTTGCCCCACAAGACCTCTCTCCCGGGCACTCCCAGCTCCCCACCTGCAGCAAGGAGCCCCTCCACATCACTGTAGTGTAAGGGGCTCCCTGTCCCTCAGACCTCTGGAGGGCAGGCGGGAGGGAGAAGTAGTGAGGCCCCTGCATTTGCCCTCACTGGAGAGCCCTGACTTAAGCTCCACCCCCTCCCAAGCCTGTGTGCCCATCTCTGTTTGTGAAGAAGCTCCCTCCATGACCGGTGACAGCCCAAACGGAACTTGCAACTGGTTAATGCACCAACACAGCCCCCAGTCGCATGGCAGCCCAATGTCTCCAGCACCGTCTGTCCCCTCCTGGATGTTGAGTTGGAGGCACTTGGGCCATATGCTCTTCTTTGTGCCCCTGCAGGATTCTCCCTTAGACATTCTTGAAGCCCCAGCTCCAGAGGCCGCATTCTTGATGGGGACTAAGACGGGGTAGGGGCCCTAGATAAATCCAGCCTAGGGGCAGAAATATCTCCCACTTTCCCCTTCACCATTAAGCCGGAAACAGCCTGCATGACGAAGACTGAAGCCTAGAAGCAAGGGCAGCAGCCCTCCCCTCTCATAATCCACAATGTACTTGAGTCTCGCCATCTTTTTTTTTATTTTACTGACTTTATTGAGGTGACATTGGATAATAAAATTATACAGGTTTCAGGTATACAGTTCTATAACACATCATCTGTATATCATGTTGTGTGTTCACCACCCCAAGTAAAGTCTCCTTCCATCACCATTTATCACCCCTTTCCCCTCCCCCACCTCCCCTTCACCCCCCTTTCCCTCCGGTAATCTGTGTCTGTGAGTTGTGTTTTTGTTTTTGCTTTTGTTTAATCCCTTCACCTTTTTTACCCAACCCCTTCAGCCCCCTTCCCTCTGGTAGATGTCAGTCTGTTCTCCGTATCTGTGAATCTATTTCTATTTTGTTAGTTTATTTTGTTAATTAGATTCCACATATGAGCGTAATCATATGGTACTTGTCTTCCTCTGACTGGCTCATTTCACTTAATACAATACTCTCCAGGTCCACACATTCTGTCGCCAAGGGTAAGGGCTCCCTTCTTTCTTACAGCCCAGTAGTGTCCCATTGTGTGAATGTGCCACAGCTCTTTCATCCTCTCATCTACTGATGGGCACTTGGGCTGCTTCCAAACCTCGCCATCTCCTTTGATCCCCAAAACAACTTTGTGGGGCCGGCAGGGACTATCATCTGCAGTTGGCAGATCAGGGAACCCAGAAGAGCCCAAATATTTGACTGAAGGATCCAGGCCAGGACTGACTCTGATGTTTGAAATCTAGGGCAAGACATGACCACATGACCCTGTCACCATCCAGCTTCATGATGTGACCGAGAGCCAGAGAGCTTGGTCCCTGGGGCCACCTGACCTGCCCCTCCTTTCTCTCCTTACTCATCTTGTCCCTAACACACTCCAGCACTGTGTGGGTCTGGTGTAGACACCATCAAGGGCTGCCTTTCCCTCCTTCAGCCAGCCCTGACCCCCCACTGTGCGCTCTTCCCAGGTACACAGTAGGTGCTCAGGGCTGCCTGGAGGAGGAACAGGCAGCTCTCGAGGGTGTCTACATTCCAGCCTTTGAGTGTCTGTACTTGCAGGAAGGAATGCAAGTCCAGATCTCAGCACATGGGAGGCCCTGCCTTAGCTTCCACTGGAGCTTCCCAAAGTCAGACTTTGGCCTTAGAGGGGAGATTAGCCACAGGTGCACCCTCCTGAGACTGCACCTGGGGAGAGGCGTCCTCCCCCCCCCCCCGGAAGACCTGACAACTGTGAGCATGTGGCACATGCCGCGCTCTGAGCAGAGCATGGTCCCACGCAACCCTAGAACAAATCTTCGCTCAACCCAGTGTCCCACCCGCCACTGAGTCCTGTCAATATCTCCCACGGCTCGTCCTTTTTTCCTTATCTCCCCATTGACTTTCAGTTGTCCTCAGCTGACCCGAAGCCATGGCAAAGCCTCTTAATGGTGTCACAGCCAGCCCAGCCCTCTCCAAGCCGCTCCCCACACGAAGACATGGAAAGGCTTCGGGACCCGAATCCCATCCTATCGCACCCGCCAAGACCTGTGAAGCCCCCTTAGAACCCAGCAGGGCTGCGTGGTCTGGCCCTGCACCCCGTCTCACACCTCCCTCTGTACGCTGAGCCACGCCAGCCGTCCCCCGGGCTCTCAGACCTACCCTGCTTTATCTGGCCTCTGCGGAAAATGAGCTTCCCTCCCCTCACCTGGTCAACTTCTTCTCTTCCTTCAGCCCCAAAGCCTTCCCTGCGCCTCCGTGTGAGTCCAGTGCATGTTCTCACACCACCTGCCGTACCTCCTCAGGGCAGCCGTCTTCTCCAGCAGCCTAAGCTCCGTGAAGAGAAAGTGGGCATCCCTCCTCCCCTCCTTCCCTCTTTCCTCGCCATCACACCGCAGCGTCTGCATAGTGCTCGGCATAGAGTTGACGGTGCCCAATAAATCTGTGTTGACCAGAGGAATGAGCGAACCAAGTCAGTGAGGTGGGTACAGCTGCTATGCCCAAATCACAGGCAAGGAAATGGAGACGTTTCTGGAAAGCTAAGGAGCTGGCTGAAGGTCCCGCAGCTGGCCAGTGGTAAAGGCAGGGTCTGAGGCATGTCCGACTGCAGAACCAGTGCTCTTAACCACGCCAGTCCTGCATCCGGTGCCCTGGCCTCAGAGTCTGTCTGTCTTGCGCTCCAGCAGGCTCCCTGAGGACTGCTCCGCCAGCCCACCGTCCCTTCCCCAGAGCTGCCCTCAGAACCATGGAGAGTCTGAGTGAACTACAGAACCCGCTGCTGCCTCGGAGCCCTGCCCACCTCCACGGCCCCTACCCCTACCCTGAGGCCTCGCCCAGCTGGTCATGCCAGGAGAAGCTCTACTCCTTCCTGCTGGGAGGTGCTGGCCCTGCTCACCCCCACCAGTTCCTGGACCCAGGGTCCCTGCAGCTGGCCGTGGAGGCCTGGTACAGGCCTAGCTGCCTCTTGGGGAGGGACACGGTCAAGGAGCCCAGAGCAGACAGCTGTGAGACCAGCTTCACAGAGAGCCGGGAGCTCCAGGCGGGGCCCACAGAACCTGGCCAAGCAGAAGAAGATGTCACCATCCAGACTGTGTCCTATGGGGTTCAAGAGGAGCTACAAGGACAGGAGGATGACCAGGAAGAGGAGGAGGTGAGTGTGTGCTTCAAATACAGGGTTTAAGGTGCTGAGATTCATTAGTCCTGGCGTGGGGTCCAGAAGTCGGTGTGCCACAGAGAAAGGCACTTCTGACACGTGCTATCCACACTTTGAGAGACAGTAGCTGGGGCTGACTATTTAATTTTTAAATAGCATTTGTTGTTCTTGGTTTTTAAATTACATAAGTAATATAAAGTTAATACAGAAAACCACCAGAAGATAACATTCCTATTTAGTGGATGATCTTCTAGTCTTTTTATATTCATGTTATTATTCCATCCTACTCCCCAAGAGAGATCTTGCTGTACCTAGTTTTATAACCTGATTTTTCTTCCTTGGCAACATATTTCAGCATTGCTGCACGTAATTTAATCTTCTTACAAGGTGATTTTAAAGGGTTACATGGTGTCCCATCACTTGTTAACTCACCCTTCTGGACATCGGGCATCACGATTGCTTCTGACCTTTTGTAATTATTATCCGGTGACGAACATGCCTGTACGTATATACTTAGATTCTTTCCTTGTGACAAATTCCTGAAGATGGAATCATTGGGTCATTATTGAGGCTGTAGGCAGAGAGCGCCGAGCCTGCCCACTCCCATCGGCAACAGAAGAGACCGCGCGTGGCCCCATGTCACTGCCACTGGGCGATCCGGGCCGGTCGCAAACCCGACTCCTGTTTTGCAGAGCGATGCAACCTCTACGGAGAGCGAGAGTGAAGACGACTTCCTCGCACTGCCGCCCAGGGACCACCTGGGGCTTACTATCTTCTCCATGCTCTGCTGTTTCTGGCCACTGGGCATCGCTGCCTTCTACTTCTCCCAGGGGGTAAGGGCATGTGGGGCCCAGGCCTTCCGCTCGGACCAGCTTCCCCCGCTGGAGGGCTCAGCAGAAGCTCGTGTAGGAGGGGGTCAGGAGCCTGGTGGGCTGGGGCTGTTTTGCTGGGTGGGCATGGGGGTGCTCCCCTTCACCACCATATCTCTCTCCCTAGACCAGCAAGGCTATCTCCAAGGGGGACTTCCGCCTGGCCAGCACCACCTCCCGCAAGGCCCTCTTCCTGGCCACACTCTCCATTGCTGTGGGCGCCGGTCTCTATGTGGCTGTGGTGGTGGCTCTGGCAGCTTACATGTCCCACAGTGGTCATGGCTAGCGGCCAGTCTCGTCTAGCATCCCCACTCCCCTGCTCCACCTGAGGGGGCAGCGGGGCTTGAGGTTGCAGACTCTCTGGAAAGCCCTGCCCCCGAAGACAAGCCGTGAAGGTGGCTTGTTTGGGGACACCTCCCCGGGTGCAGCCTGCAGGGCTCAAAGTTTCCTTCCTCTTGCCCACCGCCCCAAGCCCCAGAGCAGGGCCAGGGCACCACTCTCCAGCCTGGGCTGTGTCGGGAAGCAGGAGAGGGTAAGGCTGCCCACCCACACCAATCAGGCAGGCCCACATCTCGCTTCATGCCAGCATGGAGCTCAGCCCCTTCTGCCCACTCCCTAGAATGACTCTGCCCTCAGGCAGCCCACTCCCCAACTCCGCCAACCTCTCCACAGAGAAGGAGCAGGAGGTTATAGGGAGGGAAAGCAATACCTGGGGCAGGGGACCTGACCCAGTCCTTTCAGCTCTTACGAGTCTCCACACCGGGGACAGCATAAGCTTCCCCATTTCCACTCTCCGGCCTCATGACGCCCAAACCCCAGCGAGCCAGGAGGGAAATACATGGAGACACAGGGGCCCCTTGCTCTTTCTGGCCCTGGGCGGTGCTTATCTCTCCCGAGGGCTTGTAAGATGCTATAGTTTCTAGACAGAGGAGTCTCAGGCATGGAAACTCTGTACTAAGGCCAGGTTCTTGGAGCTTCTCTGCAGGAACCAAAGGTAAATGCAATGACAGAGGACCCAAAATATGGCCAGACCACATGGGGCTCCACACTCTGTCCCCGGACCCTGCTCCCCTCACTTTTTTCTGGGCTCCTTCTCGGGGGCCTGAGAGGGCACCCTCCCAGATAAATGGAGAGAGAGTACTGTCAGCAGCCCACCAGCCGCTGAGCCCAGGGCCTTACATCTTACGGGAAACTAGCAATGAGAAACCCTCGCTGGGTATAGTAGGTGTAAACGAGGGGAGGGACACAGGGCTGGCATGACTGCTAAGGAGCCAGCCAGCAGGGCTCAGGAAGGCTTCCTGGAGGAGGTGTCCCTTTGGCAAGGTCTAGAAAGATGAGGGGAATTTATCTAAGGGATGTGTTTTCCCATAACCCTTCTTATTCATGGACAGTGGTGTGACAGGAACCTTTCGAGGCGGGTTCCAAGCTGTTTGAATTATGCCCAGAGCATGTGGGCTGGACCCAAACTGCAGCCATTTCTGAGGCTCCACCAACTCAGAGAAGAAGGTTGGCTCTGTCTCTCAAAGACCAGTGATGTTTTCCCACCTCTGAATGCTGGGGCTCAGTGGTGGGCCCCTGGTTGGCCTTGGGGCTTCTTTGCTGATGCCCCCATACAGAGCTGCTCTCAACACCCCAGCCACTAGGGAACATCCAGAATTTCAGGGACATACAGGCAGGCAGCACATTGAAAGATGAGGCTGTCAGGGCTCAAGCTATAGGACCTCACTGTGCATGATTCCGGGAGTCTGGTCATTCCAGGGCCCCATCCAGAGCCTGGGGCTGCGGCTCCAGCACGGACTCACCTCGTCCCACCGTCCTCCCTCAGCCCCGGTGTCACCCAGCCCTCCATCTCCTTCATCCCTTAAAGTCCCACAGGCCCAGGATCAGCAGTTTTAATGTTCCACTATTGTATATATATCTCTCCTTGTAATAAACATTTCTCTACCACCTGGTGCCCTGTTACTGTCCTTGCCTGCCTCCATTTTTGCCATGTCCCCTCTCTCCCTGTGCCTCTCTGCTGCTTCCGGCCCGCAGCGGCCTTCCTGAGACGACAGGCCCACATCTGGGCCCCAGATTCCCTGCCCTCTGGAGGGAGAAGTCATGGACCACCCTGGCTCCGGTCCTCCCCCGGGATGGAGCTTCGGTTGCTCACAGCAGTAATTTGCTCAAGAGCATCGATGCTGCCTCCTCTCCTCTCTTTCCCTCACTCCCAATTGAATCTTGAGTCATCTTCTGGGAGAATCCAAACCAAGACATGCACGCACATGTTAGCACATATGTGTCAGTGTACAAACATGTTGCACACGTGCTCGTACATGCAGCCATACAGCTGTGTGTGCGCACATGTGTGTGCACACGAGCAGCACATACATGTACCAATACTGTGTGCACACTGTAGCATGTGTGTCCACACATGCAGTGTGTGCACATTCAAGGGGTGAAGAAGACACTGTGGCTGGCCCACCCTACCGTCACCCTGTCACCAGCCTGGCTGGGCCCCGGAACGGACAGTGGGCAGTGCATACTCCAGTTCAGGCCGTGTGCTGGGGTGGGCAGGCTGCCACTCAGCCAGGACGATTCCGGCCTCCTTCCTGGCCCTCAAGGATAAGGCTCCAGGCCTCCAGGAGAGGGGGAAGCCAGTGATTTCCTGTGTTTAACCCTGGTCCTGCTCCCTTCCCCTTTTCACTCCCCCCATGCCTTACCCCTGGCTGTGAATTCAGGCTCTGCCAGAGAAAATGGAATCAGAAACCAGCTCCTAGAAGCCCTCTCCCTCAGCCCCCTAGGAAGGGCCCATCCTGTCCAGTTCTGCAAGGCAGGCAAGCCCCCCTCCCATCACACCGAGGCCTGCCTTTGGGCTTGCCAGGGGCCCTGAGGGCCTCCTGCTTCCCAGCTCTGCCTGCGCCTCACCGCCTGGGGCTCCTAGGAGGCACAGGGGCCTGCGTTACCCGCCTGCAGGGTCCTCTGGCTGGCAGAGAGAGGCTGATGGCAGGCAGGGTCCCCTGGGTAAAGGTGCCCTTGATGAGCTGCAGTGCCAGCACATCTGTGAAAATATTACCAATTATTTTCCTCACTATAAACACCCAGCAGGAAGGCAAGAAAGCAACCAACCCAAACTGTTTAAAATAGAAACTGAAATTGCTGCACAGGGATGTCAGGGCAACTGGCAGAGCAGGAGCCCTGCACCAGGAAGCCGGGGCTCCCCCCACCAGCTGCCCTTACACTGCACCTGCTCCTGCTTCCCCCACCCTGCAACCCTGCCTCAGCCTTCTCCCCCACTGGCCAGGTGGAATGACGAGGGAAAGGTCCTTGCCTGGGGGGTAGACAGTCTTAGCGCATTTCCTGGGCCAAGCCCCACCCAGAAGGGGGTGTGCGGAGGCAGGGGTCGTGGCCAAGTACTGAGGATGTGAATCTTAAATGTTGCAGCACGAAGGAACCTGGGAGGTGATCTAGTCACAGTCACTCATGCTACAGATGAGACAACTGAGGCTCAGAGAGGGAGGTGAGCTGCCCAGGGACACCCAGCGGATTTTTGAGCCAAGCCCCGGCTCTGACTTCTGGGCCCTGGGGTTTCTGAGCTATGCCTCTGCCTGCCATGGAAACAGAAAACCCGGGGCAACTGCTGCTGCGGGGTGAATATTAACAAACTTGCTTCCCTCAGCCTTCCCTCCCAGGCTGGTTCCAGCTTCAAAGGCTTCCCTGCCAGCCCCTCCCAGGGGCTGATTTCTCGACCCTTCCATTTTGGTGGCTTGGCAGGGGTGGGGCGGGAGGGTAATACACTTATCTGTCCCAAACCAGCAGCCCCCACCTCCGCCACAGGTGCTTGCACATCCTCCCCCGTAATAGGGGCGGCTCTACTCTGGGGGGTGGGAGGCCCACGGAGGCCCTCAGATGTTTTGAACAAAAATTAAAAGTCCTCAGGCAGCCCATCTGCATTTCCAAATTCCTCCAACCTACATCCCTTGAACTGCTTTTACCTCTCTCTCTCTCTCTCTTTCTCTCTGAAGAACTGAAAGGGCTTCAAAGCCACCTCTGGCTTTATGAGGAAATAACAAAGAAAAAAAATCTCCAGAGGGCAGGGTGCCCGAGAGGCAGCCAGAAAGGGGACAGAGGGGACAGTGGGCATGTGTATGACCATGGGCAAGACCAGTGGGGAGATGGCAGGGGCAGGTTCCATTGAGAGAGCAACTTCAATGCACAAAGCCCCTTCACACCAGCCCTCTCTGCCACTGAGGCAGGTTCCTGAACCTGTTTTCAGATGGTGAGACCAAAGCCCACAAGGCCCTCTTTCCTCCTGGTCCCACAGCTCCATCTTCACCCTGGGACCGCATCCCATCTGAGGCCAGTTCCTGGCCATTCTCCCTCCTTATCCTCTCCAGCCCCGTCCCAACACTTCCGCTCAGAGCTGGCTGGGAGAGGCGACCTGACACAGTGGCGGACAGCAGAGTCAGAGCCACACTGACTGCCTGGGTCAACTCCTGTGGCCTGCGTTTTCTCACCTGGCATTGTGACGGCAACTGCCACGTAGGATTGCTGGGACGCTACATCAGTTAATACTCGCATGCCTCCTACAATAGCTTTGGGTGTCTAGTGAGTGAAAAATGCTTCTAATAATCTCCTGTTGACCAGCACCACCCCTCCCACAGCCGAAGAGAAAGGGTAAAGCCAAAGCCCTGGTGCACCCGGACCCTGCGATGGCTGGCAGCCAGCTGAAGACAAGTGTCTGTTTCTCTGGTTCTTCCTGCCTGGAATCCCCTTATCTGCCTCCACTCCCTGACCTTTTCTCTGAAATGATAAAAGTCTACCCAGACACAATCCAAGAAACTCTTATCTTCTCTATCCCGGACAGCCACCCTCCGCACCCCAGCTGCCCTCTGGCACCAGAGCCTCGTAGAACTACCCACCCTCTTTCATGAGCCACTGACATACCCATTTGAATTAATATCATAGCCACATCTACAGCCTTTTGCTGTTCTGAGAGCGGGGCTTTCTGCAGACCTTCCACATGGACTCACTAAGCATAGTCCTGGGGAATAAGTGACTTGCCACGCAGGTAGAGACAGGCGGGGTCAACATTCTTTCCATGGTGATATCCCTCTCAGAGGGGAGGACCACCCACCTCTTCAGGGAGATAGGAGCCAGGAGCAGGTGTTTACGGGGAGGTCCTTGACAATTCCAAAGAGGGTAAAACCAACTGGAGACAGCGAGTGGGCCCCTGTGGTGCTCGGCCTGGCAGTATCTGAATAGGGACAGACTGAGGAGCTCTTAGCTGCCTTTCATCCGGGGTGCCATGAAGACCCACCTTTTTGGGGAACCGAGGTCCCGCTCTGCAGAAAAATACAAACAAGGAGATAAAACAGCCAGAGTGGCTGCCTGCTCCTCGTGTCCCCTCTGGTCTCCATGAGGCCCTGGGCACAGGGCGGAGAAGAGGTTCTCAGTTTCCTCTGCTCCCAGCTCAGCCCCTCGGACCCTATCCTCTGAGGAGTCCGCAGGTCTGAGTGCCACCGGCTTGTCCATGCTCACTTCTGAAGGCCAAAGCCAGAGGCAGGAGCAGTGCCTGGCTCAACTGCACCACCTTCCCATCCTGCACCGAGTGCTGTGACTCCGCCTGCCCCACATCTCCCTGATCCCATCTACTTCTCTGCGTCTCTGCTGCCTGGACCTAGTCTGAGCCCCCACCCACTCTAGCTCAGGCTCCTGTGAAAGCCTCCTGGGTGTCCTGACACAGGCTGCGACACGGAAGAGGCTTGAGGACGTCAGGCTAAGTGAAACGAGTCAGGCTAAGTGAAACGAGCCAGTCACAAAAAGGCAAATACTGTGCAACCCCCCTTCTGTGGGGTACCTAGAGTTGTCAGATCCATAGCGACAGTGCTGGTCAGGTGGCTAAGTTGGTTGGAGTGCTGTCCTAAAGCACCAGAGTCACAGGTTTGGTCCCCGGGCAGGGCACACGCAAGAATCAACCAATGGATGCATTAGTAAGTGGAATGGCAAATTGGTCTCTCTCTCAAAAAGGAATAAATTTAAAAACATACATCTTTTAAAATTCATAGAAACAGAAAGCAGAATGGCGGTTCTTGAGGCTGTGGAGGGGGGAGAGGAGAGTTAGGGCCTAACAGGACAGAGTTTCAGTTCCGAAGACCAGCTGCACAACCCTATGAATATTTCAAACATCGTGAACTGTACGCTTTAAAAGTGGATAAACTGACAAAGTTCATGTTATGTTTTTCATCACATTCATTTTAAGACTGGGGCAAGTAATAATTGTTATTATTGTAAGGAAAAATTCTACTATAAATCTGTTTGGTGTCTTTCCAAAGAAGATTTCAGTGCAAACAAAACAAAACAAAACCCTTACTAAATGGCTCACCTGCCTCCCTCTGGCAAAGCAAACTCTTCTAATGGCTAATTTGGTCCAGTTAGCTCCCCTGGTCAGCACCTTCAAATGATACCCATTTTTCTCAGACCACAACCGAGCTCCTTACCTGCTTACCAGCCCTCCCCGCCTCCAGCTCCACCCCACACCACACAGCCCCCGCCTCTGCACCTGACCGGGTCTGCTGCCTTCGGCCCAGACCTGCCTTCATGCCGGCAGGGCCTTTGCATATGCTTTTCCTTCTGCCCAGAACACTGCTCTTCCCTTCATGGACTCGTAATAATACAAAGTATTGGGTACTGACTTTGTACCGAGCCTTGTGCTAAGTACTTTACAAATACTAATCCTTGCAACATCCCTCGGAGGCTGGCTCTATTAGCACCCCTGTTTTAGAGATAAAGACACTAAGGTCTGGAGCAATAAAACAACCCGCCCTTGGTCACACCGCTAGCAGGTGAAAAGCCGGAATTTGAACCCAGTCTCCCTGGCTCCCCAGCCAACATGCCTTGACCATGCCAC